CCCGCTCTCGCCCGCGCCCTCGCTCCGGGCGTTCAGAAAGAGGCTGAGCGTGGCGCTCCCCGTGGGGCGTTCCTGGGCTCCGCTCCCGGCGCTGCCCGATCTTTCCGGGTAGCTTAGGGTCTAACGTAAGAGGTGGACAGGCGGGTAGGCAGGTCGGTGTTCGCGCCCGCCTTCCTTCCCTGCGCTAGCATACCCATCCTTGCAGTTTGGGCGCTAAGTACGGCGCTCCAAAGGACTTTACGTTGTCTTCATATTTTCTCTGGAGTGATGTTAACGAGACCTGTCAGCCTCACACTTCTGACGATCAAAGAGGGTACCTACCCAAGGGTCAGCACAGGTCGTTGTCTGAGCCCCAGACTCTTTCTGAAGAGGGCTGGGGCCGGTATACGCGGGTGCGCGCACCTTCCAGCTTTTAGCCTGGGGGAGTTAGGAGCAGCTGGGGGCGGGGGTCTCCACGTTTTTGAGGGCCTCCTCTCCCTAGACACAGGCAGCCGGCGCGGACAGGGTTAGAGAAGCTCCTTGAAAGGAGGGCTAAAAACGCTGCGGTGGCGGGCAGAAGGGGAGGAGCCTTCACTGACCTGGACGGAGCGCTCTAACTGCTTGCAGTGTAAGCAAGGAGGGTGAATCGCCGCCACGGAATCGGTGATGGCCCGGATACTTGGTTTGACTTGGAATGGGGAGACGTCTCCAGTGCTTCCGTGTTGGCTTGTTTTCCGTTTTAGAAATGAGTGGCGGCTTGGCGCCGAGCAAGAGCACCGTGTATGTGTCCAACTTGCCCTTCTCCCTGACGAACAACGACTTATACCGGGTAAGTTTTAGTGCTCACGCACTTAGGTGTGGAACCCTCTATTTGAGACACAGTTTATTTTGCCCCACTAGTTCTCCCTGGGAGACATCTGAATAAATAATTATGATGTATGTAAAGCACAAATACCAAAGACATCTTTACAAATAAATGAGAAAAGACTTAAACTTGTAATTTCCAAAGAGAACTTAAGAGTACTCTGTGGGTGGGGTAACAGTACGGTGAACTGAACCCACGGCCTTCATGCTGACGTCCGTCTCCAGCATGCATTCATTCATTCCCTTATTTGAGAGAGGGTCTCACTGTGTAGTTCAGGCTGGCCTGGAACTCACTATGTAGCCCAGGCTAGTCTCAAACTCGTAGCCATCCTCCTGCCTCAACCTCCTCTAGGATTACTAGTTTGCACCAAAACACTTGGCTTGGCTTTTTTGGCTTTTGAAACTGGTAATAGAAGTTTTGGATGAAAGAAGTGATGACAGTGAACACATGCCTTTCCTAAACCTCAGAGTCTGCGAGTATCTTTTACTTTACACACGTGGCAGAAGCTTAACAGTTTGTACAGTTTTCAGTTCAACAAAGGGTGGTTGAGGTGGAAAAAATACATTCCAACATATTCTTTAACCCCTTTACCTTACAGAGAATAAAATTTTCCTACTATTCCTGTCTTGCAAGTGGGGAGCTGAGAGTAACTACAAGTATCTGAAAACTTTCTTCACCTGTGCCCTATTATTCTTGTTTTGTGATACGCAGAACTTGATTAATTAGGACAGCTTGAATTTCAAAGAATAGAGAGGAAACTTTAGTTTCCCTGTAACAAAATAAAATCTTAGTGTACTAAAAGCCTATAAAGATAACAGACACACGGAACAAAAGGACAAAAATCTATTATACAGTACAGCAAGGGAAGGAATGCCAAATAGGGAAATGTCCAATTCTATGTCAGATATTAAGGAGATGTTAAGGTTTCAGGGGTAAGGAAAGGTACGCCCACTGCATACGTGCCTTATTAGTGACCATGCAGATATGGCTTTCCCTCGGTGTGAAATGAGAAGTCACTGGAAAGTGTTAGGCAGGAAGCTTACAGGCTCTCATAGTCCAGTGTGGCCAGTACTGCCATTCACTTGTGCATCATGAAGCTCTATACGCCTCATCATAGAATACAAAATTCTGTTATTATTGGTTGCATATTTCAGCATTCTAAAAATATTCTAAAAGATTTCTAGGAATATTGTAGGTAGGAAATACAAGTGTCTAGGTACTGACTGCAACAGTAGGAGTAGATAGGGTTCCTTAGGGTGAAGATGCAGAAGGGAAGGCAGGGCCAGCTATAAAGTACCACTAATAATGGACAGAAAATGCAGACTAAGGAAATGGATTTGTCACTATGGAAAGTGTTTTGTTTTATAAGCACTATAAGATCTATCTGCTTTAACAGTAACTGCTTTGTTTGTGGTGCAGTATAGAACAGTAATACTCACTCCATGAGACTGATGTTTAAGCACAAAGGTACTAGGAGTTGTGGTCCAGTTGATAGTTGCCATGGATACAACACAGGAACACAGAGCTCTCTAATGTATCTGCCTGTCATCTACTGCACACAGAATTTCTTTTAGAAGGTGACAAAGATACATGCAACTCCAATAACAATTAGAATGTTGCAGTCATCTAGAAAACATTTTTTTTTTTTTTTTTTTTTTTTGGTACCGGGAATCAAACTCAGGACCTTGTGCTTGCCAGGCAGGCACTGGGGCACTGAGCTGTATCCCTGGCCCTAGAAAATATTTCTTCTACACCCTTTTTTATACACTGAAGGTCAAAATTTTTCATAAACTATATTAAAGAATTTGGTCAGTGTATACAACTTGAAAATGATATTTCAAATTATAAATTATTCTGTGATATTTCAAATTATAAATTATTCTGTGATCTTTGGCTTTAGATATTTTCCAGTATGGCAAAGTTGTGAAGTAGTATTCATGTTACAAAACACTTGAAATGCCAGGCATGGTGGCACACACCTATAATCCCAGTACTCAGGAGGCTGAGGAGAAAGGACTGCCTCAAGTTTGAGGCCAACCTTGGCTACATAGTGAATTTAGGGCCAGCCTGAATTATGTAGCGAGATCTTGTCTCAAAAAACAAAAAACAAAAACACAAAACAACCCAGAAAAGATGCTATTACTGTTCATATTTTAACCCATTGCTTTCTACATATATAAACATAGATAAAACTCTACATGCAATTCTGTTTTAATTTCATATTATTAAGTGGCTTTCCATGTACTGTACTATAAAGATACACCCTCATATTTAATGGTTGGTTTTTTTATACAGGTTCTCACTGTGTAACGCAGGCTGGCCTTGAACTCACTTCTGTAGCCCACTCTGTCTTTGAATTCACTTCTATAGCCCAGTCTGGCCTTGAGCTCACATTGCTCCTACTGCCTCAGCCTCCAAGGGTTGGGATTACAGGCATGTGCCACTATGCCAGCTAATTTAATGCTTCTTCTGCTATTACTTTATATATCATTTATCTTACAAATCTTCAGAACTTTTCATATTATTACTAAGAGCTAAAGCTAATTCTGATATCCAATATAATGTGTAAAGAGTTGATGAAACCAGCATTTCAGTTACTAGAAAACGTTATCAGGCATATAATAAATTAATTCCCATTTAGCAAACAAAGAATATAAAAACTAATATTTCAATGCTTGTGACTTGCAAACTGCTTTTAAACTATTCTCTACTTCCATAGAAAACTTAGATATCATTAGAAAGACTAGAAACATACAAAAATAGTAATAGATATTAGTCCAAACTGACAGTTGACAAAGGATAGAAAGAATTTAAAGCTGGGCGTGGTGGCACACACCTGTAATCCCAGCACTCCGGAGGCTGAGGCAGGAGGATTGTTTTGAGTTCAAGACCGGCCTGGGCTACAAAGTAAGCTCAAGGCCAGCCTGAACTGCATAGCAAAACCCTGTCTCAAAAAAAAAAAGAAAGAATTTGAAGCTATTGTTTATTTTGCTGTTTTAAACCAATCAAGCAATTGCATTATGGGGCATAAAAATGAAAGCAAAATACCATCATTCTTAACTATCTTCAACTAAAATACATTCTGGCATAAATGTAAAATCCTTTCTAAATGCCAAGAATTAAACCATATTTATCTCAACTAATTATTTTTCTTCATACTTTCCATAAGTGTTACTGAACAACTGAAGTACATGAGCACTTCTTTTAAACTTCTTTGCTATTACAAAACATTATTAAAAATGCTTCTTGGTAAATGTGTACAGAATTTTAAATAATCATCTTCAATCAAAACAATACTAATGCTGATGCTGTAACACTTAAACATACATTTATATATGCTAGGCATTGTTCTGATCTCTGCACATGTATGATCCCGTTGTCACACACCTTTTAAGGTAAGTATTACTAGTATCCTAATATTACAAATGATGAAACTATGGCACACAATAAACTTAACGTCATTGGTAGTTACATAATAGAGTCAACACTTGAATCCAACAGTGTGATTCCCACATCTATTCCCCTAAATGTCCCATTTTCCTATTCTTGGTTTTTTTTTCCCCCTCTCTGCTAAAATACCAGAATCTCCATACATATATAGGACCCTGTGAAAAGGATGGGATAAAGTTAAAGACACAGAGTTATAAGGATCTATGTACAGGGAGGACCTGATCTGGAAAATTGGAGAAGTCTTATTTAGGTCTGCATCCTTTCTGTTGAAACCTAAAGCCTGAATAAGACTTAAATAGCCAAAAAGAATGGGAGGAACATTCAGAAACAGGAAATCACATGAGTGGGATTCTTGATGTTTTTAGGATACTTGATTTTTGTTTTATTCAGTTTTTTTAGGTCTTTATACATTGTAGAGCACTACTGGCGAACCTATGGCATGGGTAGGTTGTACTATGGAAAGCTCTGCCCCCTATGCAGTGGGCAGTTTGTACTATGGAAAGCTCTACAGAGTTCGCCATTACTTTTCTAGATAGTAATCATCTTTCGGGGGGCTGGGGATTTAGCTCAGCGGCAAAGCGCCTGCCTGGCAAGCGCAAGGTCGTGAGTT